GAATTCCAAACCTCAGTTGTTTGAGCCTCACCTTCCAGATGTTCACAGTTAGTAACCACCCGACTAGTAACTTTTTTCTTTAGCTCCACTCACATTTATTACTTACCATTTTATTTAGAGATAAACAACATGAAAACGCAGCAATGTTATGAAATCTTAGCTAGATACTAATGCCTCCTGAAAGCTTTTTAAAAAGGGAGATTAGGGAATTCCCTTGGAGTCCCTTGGTTAGGACTTCACACTTTCATTGCATGGGGCATGGGTTTGATCCCTGGTCAGGGAAGTAAGATCCTGCATGCCGCAAGGCGTGGCCAAAAAGAAAAAAAAAAGGCGGGGGTGGGGGGATTAGCTAGTGTTGGAGAATAGAGACATGAGCGCTGGCCTGAGATCGCTCCTTGATGCAGCTGAAAGGATGGGAAAGAAACAGACCCCTCCCTACCTCATGCTGTGGGGTCATGATTGCCACAGAAGCAGACCTGAGACCCCACTTCCTCACTGGATTTTAGGGAAAACTGGTTTTGCCAGAGGGCATTTTAACCCCGATTTGGTCAGGTCTCGAGCCTGGGAGCCATGGGGCTCATACTGCCTCTGCAGCCCTGCCACTGCAGGGCTGGACGCAGAACCCTGGGAAAAGGCTGCCTCCTTGTACCCTGATTTCCCCTTGCCTTGTAGAGATCCAGGTGATGATGGGCAGCCTGGTATACCTGCGGCTGGGCTTGGAGAAGTCACCCTACTGCCACCTCCTGGACAACAGCCATTGGGCCGAGATCTGTGAGACCTTTACGCGCGATGCTTGTTCCCTGTTGGGCCTTTCTGTGGAGTCACCCCTCAGCGTCAGGTACAGCCAGCCCTGTGGGGGCAGCACAAGTGGGAGGGTTGAGGGAAACCCAATTTGCCAAGGCCCTGCCACGTCCAGGGATGTTGCTTGGTGCCTTCACAGACCTAAACTGGCTGTCTTAGTCATTCTTCCAGATAGGAATTACCTTTCTTTCTACAGTTGGAGAAACAGATTTAGAAAGAGCTGTGGCCTGGGATCACCACAAGGTCAATGGCAGGGTCAAGGTTCCCATTTTGTAAGGTCTCTTGAGTGAGGTCTGTGTCTCCTGTACCTCACCCCTGGATTATCACAAGACCCTCTGACAGCCTGGCCTTCTTGCCACCTCATCTCTCAAGCATGACTTCCCTTCAGGGAGACTTGAGTGGCTGAGTCACACGTGCTGAGAGCTTTCACTCAGAAGACTCCTTTATAGTTAACATTCTTCTCATGGCTTCACAACAAACCAAGGAGTTAGAGGTACTGTTATCCTCATTTTACATGAGAAAACAGGCTCCTAGGGCCTCACAGGGACTAAAGGTCACCTGGACCTGACCCCGCCACATATGACACCACAGTGGTGTATTTTATTTAGGCCGGCTGTGGAATCTCACGCCTTGCCCCATTGTGATAGGCTCCACCCTCCAATTTGTTACCACAGACTCTGGTTATAGAACAGTCTTTCCCAGTGGGAACACCGGTGCCTTAGGACGGTTCTGTTGCGCACAACTGCCCTGCGTGTTGTAGGCGTTTGGTACTCAAGGCTCCAGCCAGTCGGCTCCCCACCCCCCGCCCAATCCTTGTGAGGACTGAATCTGCTTTTTCCCATATCTAAGTGCTCTGGTTGATTGCAGTTAGAGGTGCACTGTGACAACGGAATGGGGTAGACAGGCAGGATGGGGCCCTTCCAAACATCACTGTCCCTGTCACACCAAGGACTTATCAGTGCTTGGGATGAACAGATTCTCTGTCCCCTGGATGTTCCTTTTGTGTTTATTATAGCTTCTCAAATTCGGGGGTGTATTAGAATGACTTTTTAGAGTTGGACGCATGACTACATATGTGGCTTTATGCGTGACCTGAGAGATTTTTAAGTACCGGTTTGATCAAGTGCCACTTTGAAACCTTGTCCCAAGTCACATTCCAACAATGTGCTGGTCCTTCTGTCTGTCTGCTGGGTTCTTGGTCAGGGTCACTCCAGCCCCTGCTCTTTGTTCTGCAGCTTTGCCTCTGGCTGTGTGGCACTGCCAGTGCTGATGAACATTAAAGCTGTGATCGAGCAGAGGCAGTGCACTGGGGTCTGGAGTCACAAGGATGAGTTACCGGTGAGGCCTGGCAGGGGGAGGTACAGCAGGAGGCGCTGGGGAGGACAGCCGCCATGGGAAGTGGGACTCACCCCTCTGCTGGCCTCCCCAGATTGAAATCGAACTAGGTATGAAGTGCTGGTACCACTCAGTGTTCGCGTGCCCCATCCTCCGCCAGCAGACGTCGGATTCCAACCCTCCCATCAAGCTCATTTGTGGCCATGTCATCTCCCGAGATGCACTCAACAAGCTCATTAACGGAGGAAAGTAAGTTCCATGTGCTCTGCTCCACCTTGGCTTGACCCTTCTGCTGGCTGGCCCCTTGACCCTCCCTTCTGCTGGCTGGTCCCGAGACATTCTCGGTTCTCCTCCCTTTGTAGGCTGAAGTGTCCCTACTGTCCCATGGAGCAGAACCCAGCAGATGGGAAACGCATCATATTCTGATTCCTGCCTGGGAGGAACTTTGCTGAAAGAGGTTTTTCACCCATGAGCCTTGGTCTGTCTCCGTGGGGGTGGTTGGCTTCCGTGGACTGTGGTTCATTTCAGAGCAACTGGCTGAGGAGTGCCACCACAGGCAGGGGCTGGAGTGGCCCTGTGGCAGAGGCCAAGGAGGGAGATGAAGCAGCCTACATCTGGCAGCTGGCTCCTTGGCTCTAAGGGCAGGGAGACTCTGGCCTCTGTACTCCTGCTCTGTCTCCCCTTCATTATATTTGCTGTTGACCTAGTAGCAACTGACAGAGAAGCAAAGGACTTGGCGGGCACAGCAGATGTCCTCCATCCTGCCCTCAGCCACGTCTCTTACTGCCACACCAAGGCTTGTGTCCATTCCTCCCACTGTACAGCCTCACAACGTATGCATCAATTTCCCACTGTAAATAGTCTGGGATAGAACTGAATGCCATTGTTTTGTAACTTTGAGCAAATATATTCACAGGCCTTCTCCTTACTTTGCCCACCTTCAGCTTCACTGGCAAAGAATTACCACGTGCCCACTGCGCACAGGTACTGGGCATGGCCTAACCATTGCTGCTGGTTGGGAACATGGCAGCCACAGAGCCCAGTCGAAAGAACCCAACCTGCATCTGATTGGGAGAAAGAGCTAGAAGATGGCAGACCCTGGGCAAGGTGCTTTTACATATACACATATAAAATCGTATTACCTCCTTATTAGAGATGAGTGTGAAGGGATGTAGTAAGATGAAATGACTTGCCCAAAAAGGCTCACAGCTTATCAAGAAGAGAGCTTGGAGTTTAAACTAGATCCAACCCTCAAGACCAAGGTCCTTCCAGTTTATTCCAGGGTGCCTGAAGCTTGGCTGCTGTGTGTACTGAGTCCTGTGCTGGGCCTTTGAAAACAGGAAGGCACCATAAGTCTAAAATGTTTGAAGGGATTAAGTTATGGGGCCATTATGCCAAGCAGGAGAGATGGCCTGGGGTTCTGCAATTAACTTCATATACCTATTTAAAATTTACTGTGTGGGTGGGTACATTTGCTTCTGTCAGCTTCCCAGTGGCATTTAAGTCTCCTGGGGAAAAAGAAAAGAGGAATGGGGGTGTCCCCGACATAGGAGCCACAGGCTTAGGTGAAGTGGGGCCTGGGCTCAGCTGGCTCGCCCTGCAGCTCCCAGCTACTCTGGAAGCGGGAGTGGAAAGCTCAGGGTGGGCAGTAGGGTCCGTTCTCAGCTTGAGTCTAGCACTGGCTCTGGTGGCCAAGCATTAGCACTGAACATTCTTGAAGTCCTCGGGTCCTCTGAGGAGAAAGGCTGCTTCTGCTCTTTCCTCCCCAACAACTCCTCAGCCCCACCAGTAGCTGCTGCTTAAAAAAACACCCACAGACTCAGCACATTTTAGTTTTAGCATTTACTTCTCCCCCGTCATCTTCATTGAAGCTCAACAGAAAATAGCACTGATGGAGAAGATGCTGGCTTTGCTGCCGTGAAGTAGCTGTTGGAGCCACCTGGGAAGAACACGTGCCTCAGGGTACCACAGAGATGCCGTGAATGTGGGCAGCAGGAGGGCAGCCAGCTGGTGTGCCGCCAATGCAACAGCTTCTGGAGCAGGTGCCCAGGTTGCTGCCTAAGTCCTTCACATGGGCGGGGGCAGGGCCTGTACCTCCTCCAGGCACTCGTCATAGGCCTCCTGGTATTCCTCGTGGGGCTTGACCATTATCACACAGGTGGGGCGCTTAGAGCCGGCGGCTGCACCCAGGTCCTGCAGAGAAGGAAATAGAAGGGCTGTTTGGAAAGAAGGCCGCACAACCTGTATACCAGGGAGTCACACACTGATGATCCACCAGCCTAATCCAGCCCACAGACTAGTGCTAGTGTCAATGTTAAGACATGTGCTAGTCAGTCAGTGTTAACATTTTGCCACCATTTAAACTCAGCAAACTTTCGAGTTGTGGTCCAGCAACAATGGGCCTACAGTTCCACATGGCAACTGTGAAAGGGCTCCAGCCCAGCAGGGGCTGTCCCCTTGGGCAGCGCCTATGATTTCCAGGTCCCTGCCATCCCCCACTCCCTGGACCCCAGACCTGGCCTCTGCTGTGTAAGGGTAAGGACAGCTTCAGGTCCCTAGAACATCCCCTCTGAAACTGCACCCACCTAATAGGACTTACATATCCAAGTTCATCTTCTGTTTCATTCCCATAGTCCATGGAGAAGGGGATTCCCATTTTACAAGAAAGAAATGGAAGTGCAGAGAGGTAACTTATCTGCAGTCCCTCGTCTAGGAAGCAGCAGAGCCAAGAATCCATCCAGGCCTGTCTTAACTCCAAAGCTCATGCTCCTTCCCACTATGGCCTGCTGCCACATACCTGATCCCAGACACCCTCCCTCCTGTGCTGACCAAGATCGGGCACACGTGCTCCTTACCGTCTTAGAGGGGATATAGACGTACGGCAAATTCCGGTCTTCACACATAACTGGGAGATGGCAGTATACCTCAATGGGTAATGTGTCTCCTGCCAAAACCATGATCCTGAAATAAGAGAAACCACTGTCATTTCCAGCTTGCTTGTTCCCTCTTTCAGTTGTAAGTGTTGCCTCTGAGCTGGGCCTTGGGGGTACAGAGATGGGTAAGCTACCCCATGACCTCAAAGAGTCCAATTATTAATGTGTGTCTCCCAGCCTTTAGAAATTCATGCAGCTTTGGTGAGTGCATTCCTCTGGGGAGGTAATCTCTGTTGCTTGGCAACAAGTAAATGACACCAAGTGTGACAAAGCATATCGCACTGGGACAGATGAGGTATGAGAGAGATGCCAAGGAGTAAGAGCTCAGCTCTCCCTGGAAGATCAAAAAATGAATCAGGAAGTGATACTTGAAAGGAAAGCTGAATGATGAACATGTCACGCAGCCCATGGAGGGGCTGGAGGCAGGGAAAGCATTTAAGGTCGAGAGAATCAGAAGGATACTAGATACACAGGGGCTGGCCATTGCTGGGGAGCCAGGGATGGCTTTGGAGTCCAGGATGGGGATGGGGCAGACAAGATGGCTAGAAAAACTAGTCACATTTAAGGGCCTTGAGTGCTTCCAGGATCATTCCCAAGAGTGACAGGGAACCAGATCCAATGAAAGCTTGCCAGAGAATCCCCAGCTAGGGCTCTTAGCTGGCAAAGTGTTGGGGTTCTGGGACAAGGGCCTCAGCAGCCCTGATGACACAGAGGGAAGAGTCTGTTCCCTAGGGGAGTGAGAGGAAAACACAAGGAAAAAGCTCTTGGTTCAAAGCACTGCATCCACACTCCTAGTTTTCCTTTTGCCTCATACACTCTTCTCTGCAGGCTCCTCTTCCTTTGAGCAGCCTTTATTTTATTGGCCGTGCCGCACAGCTTGCGGGATCTTAGTTCCCCAACCAGGGATCGAACCCTGGGCCCCCTGCAGTGGAAGCACGGAGTCCTAACTGCTGGACCGCCAGGGAATTCCTCAGTAGCCTTTAAATGCTGGTGTTCCCACAGCCTGGTCCTTGGCTGCCCTGTCAGTACTTTCTCCCCAGCTGACCCCATCCATAACCAAGGCTTCAAGCGCCAACTATGTGTTGACAACTCCCAAATCTATTCTCTCCAGCCTGACCCTCTCCCAAACTGCAAACCCTTATAGCCACTTGCCTGTTTGACATTTCTGCTAGGGAGACGGTTCATATGTTTAAAAGGCACCTCAAAAACTTGTCTAAAACCTAACTCATGATCTTCCCATACAAACCTGGCTCCCTCCACTATTCACTATTTCAGTGAGTGGGCCCTCTGTCCATTCACCTGGAATCCACACCTCTTCATATCGGAAAGTCCTCTCATCCATCCACTTTAATTCTTTCCATCTCGCCATCACTAACCCAATCAAAAATTGCCCTCGCCTCTTCTATGCCACAGTAGCCTCCTATCTCAATTTCCCCATCTATTCTTCCACCTCTGATCCTTTCCAAAGTTGCCAGAAAAATCTTCTTAAGGTGTAAACATAATTATGTCACTCCCTGGCTTTAACCCTCAGTGGCCTCCAAAGCTCTGAGTACAAAAACTAAATTTACCATGGCTTACAAAAACCCCATGCGAAGTTGGCACTTCTGTCCACTACTACCCTCTCCTGCCCTGAAATCCACTTTCTTCTGGCAGAATGCCTCCCCTCCCTCCCAGCCCACAAACTAATTCCTATATCTTCAGACCTCAGCTACCCCACCTAGGTCGGACTCCATAGGGCATCAAATCCCCCCAGCATTATTTATCTCTGGAGCACCTACAATGTACCAGACACTTCTGAAAGTAAAGCAGTGAGAGGCTTTTTCCTGTTCTCAAAGAGCTTACTTTCTGGCCCTAGTGGGAGATACAGGGAATAAAAATGCAAATAAGTTTCAGGTTCTGATAAATGCCAGAAAGAAAAGATGTAAGATAATGAAGTCATTCTCACTGCACCCTTGTACTTTTTCTTCATGGTTACCTATGACACTTGGAATTTTGAGTGTATTTGATTACTGTCATTGTCTCGCCATAGTATAGTGCCTGAAAAAGAGGAGAGAGTCAGTAAATAGTCGCTGAATGGATGAAGCTGGGATCCACCCTAAGTGAGCTGGCTTATACGATTCGCTTCCCCTGGAATTCACTTTCCCCATGGTGTCCCTTTGCGCTCGTGTAAGTGATGTATCAGCATCTGTACGGAAGGGAATCTACCTTCTGCACATGAGGGGGAGTCATAGCTCTTTTACCGACTACCTACTAAGTAGCAGGGATACCTTCGTCATCGTTTAGAAATGCAAAATCCGGCGGGAGGGGGTTCTTACCCTTTCTCGCCTTTGTTGATAAATTTCTGAACTTCCTTCACCCCGCGCCGAATCTGCTTCTGCTTTACGGCTGCAACGACAGAAGACTCGGTCGAGGGGACCTCCGCCCGCCACCCGCGTCCTGTCCCGGCTCACTCCGGCGTCCACCCGCACCTTTTTTTTTTTTTTTTTTTTTTTTTT